GGAACCCCCTGCCCACAGGGATGTGCCCGAGCCCCTCCTCTCCCCCAGGATTTTCTGGAGCCCCTCCTCTCTCCCAGGATTCTCGAGCCCCTCCTCTCTCCCAGGATTTTCTGGAGCCCCTCCTCTCTCCCGGGATTTTCTGGAGCCCCTCCTCTCTCCCAGGATTTTCTGGAGCCCCTCCTCTCTCCCAGGATTTTCTGGAGCCCCTCCTCTCTCCCGGGATTTGCCGGAGCCCCCCGCCCCAGGAGGAAAGGCCACACATTCCAGGTGCAGGGAAGCTGCTCTGGAACATTCCCCACTCCCAAGGCTCCTGGTGGGGAAGGGAAATCAGGGAGGGTCCCTCGGGAAGGACGAACATCCCGGGATGCAGAGCAGGGATGAATCCTCCAAAGCCACCCCTGGGATTGGGGGAACCTCATCCCGATATCCCCGAAACCGACGGAGCCGGGGGGGTCCAGAATCCCAACGGATCCCACAGGATCCCAACGGATCCCACAGGATCCCAACGCCAGGAAACCGGGAATGGGGACTGAGCCCAGGCCAAGGGGGGAGCGAGACTCCCTCACACCCAGAGCCCTGGAACGGATCCTGGGAATGGATCCTGGGAATGGAATCTGGGAATGGATCCTGGGAGTGGATCCTGGGGATGGATCCTGGGAATGGATCCTGGGAATGGATCCTGGGAATGGATCCTGGGGATGGATCCTGGGGATGGATCCTGGGAATGGAATCTGGGAATGGAATCTGGGAATGGATCCTGGGAATGGATCCTGGAGATGGATCCTGGGAATGGATCCTGGGAATGGAACCTGGGAATGGATCCTGGGGATGGAACCTGGGAATGGAACCCAGGAATGGATCCTGGGAATGGGAATGGCAGTGGGAATGGGAATGGCAGTGGGAATGGGAATGGGAATGGCAGTGGGAATGGGAATAGCAATGGGAATGGGAATAGCAGTGGGAATGGGAATGGCAGTGGGAATGGGAATAGCAGTGGGAACGCCGGCTGGGAACGCCAGTCCCTGGAAGGACTCACATCC